GGCTGAGCCACCGAGCCCGCCTCAAAAAATTTTTAAAAATTAGCCAGGTGTGGTGGCGCATTCCTGTAGTCCCAGCTACTCGGGAGGCTGAGGCAAAAGGACTGCCTGAGCCCAGGAGCTGTGGTAAGTCGTGATCGTGGCACTGCACTCCGGCTTAGGTGACAGACTGAGACCTCGACTAAAAAAAAAAAAAAGACCAGGAGAGGTAAATCTATTACAGTACCTTTAGGGAGATACAAAATCATTCCACAAAGACTCATTTAAAATCACCATTAATTGACTGCAACATCAAATCATTGTGATTTGATAAATAAACGATTCTATCCTAAAAAGCATTTGTTCATCATATATGAATAGTTGAAATGCCAAGCCTAGTGCATCATCTACCTAGAATTCAAAAGAGTTTACACCCAAAAGCTGACCAAACATATAGGATTGGATGATACACACACTTTTAAAAACACAATTTGCATTTTTTTTTAAGTCAGAGGCTCACTCCGTTGCCCAGGCTGGAGTGCAGTGTCACGCTCACAGCCAACGCGGCCTCCACCTGCTGGGCTCAGGTGATCCTTCCACCTCAGCCTTCCAAGTAGCTGGAACTGCAGGCGCATGCTACCACGCCCGGCTAATTTTTTTACTTACTGTAGAGACGAGGTGTCAGCAAGTTGCTCAGGCTGGTCTTGAACCCCCAGACTTGGGCAGTCCTCTCGCCTCAGCCTCCCAAAGTGTTGGAATTATAGACTTGAGCCACCGTGCCCGGCCACAATTTGCTTTTTTAAAACTTGTTAAAGTTTTACCTTCTGGCTTTGGGAGATGGGGGTATCTGTACATATTTACTTTCAGACAAGGACTAAGTCACACATTAACTACCTTAACTATGAGATTATTACAAATATCTCTCACAGATATGAAAAACTGAGGTATGGGGAGGCTAAGTAATTTTCCAAGGTCCCACAGCCAACAAGTCACTGCTGAAGAGCAAACCAAGAACTGGCAGGCAGCACAAGCCAGTCCTGTGGCAGTAAAACCTTTTGAGACACCCTTCCATATTTTGTTACAGACACACACACACACAGAAATCCTAGTTATGTATCCATGTTCTTTTCCTGACTCCAAAGTGGCATTATTCTAACTTACTAACACAGTGTTTTCTAAAAACCACCCAAGGTATTGAGGCATTTTTTGGCTCACTCCTTCCTATTAGAAGTGCTAACAACATGAAACACATGAGGGATGATACAGTCCTTCAACAAATTCGTCTTCACACAAGAGATGACCTGGTGCAGTGAGCAAGATCACAAGCTGCCAGGAGATGGTGGATTCTTTTTTTTTCTTTTCTTTTTTTGAGTTGGAGTCTCACTCTGTCGCCCAGACTGGAGTACAGTGGCCGCTCCATGCCACCGCAGCCTCGACCCGCTGGGCTCCAGCGATCCTTCCGCCTCAGCCTTCGAGTAGCTGGAACTACAGGCACGCGCTACCACACCCGGCTAATTTTTTACTTATGGTAGAGATGCGGTCTCACCAAGTTGCCCAGGCGGGTCTCGAACCCGCGGGCTCAGGCAATCCACTCACCTCAGCCTCCCAAAGGCGTGGGATGACAGGCTGAGCCACCGAGCCCGGCTGAGATGGTGGATTCTGAAGCCCCCAGCTGAGCCTGTGGAAAAGTCCAGATGGGAAACACTTCCATCGCGACCCTGAAGCGAGGAGGATGACTCTGCGTGGGGAGCTCCCTCAACCCCAACTGCAGGTGAAGTCCCTGGCGCCATGACGAGAGCCCAGACCCTTCTTCACACACACACACCCCTCAGGGCCTTACAGAGAGCGCAGCTAGTTCATATGAAGCATTTTAGGCTAAGAGTACTTACAATGCACTCAACATTCAAATGGGATACTTTATTTAAACGTCAGAGTGATCCCGCCTCATCCAATCCATTAATTTACAAAGTCAACCTAGGATGGAAGGATAGAAGCTAACAGTCCAACAGAACAAGATCCCGAACCTTGGCTTTGCCACTTGCCAGTATGAGAAGGACTAATTAATCCATCAAATTATCAGTTTCCTTATATATAAGAAATGACTACATGTCAAGGTTGTTGTGAGGATTAATGGAAGTGTCATGTATGCATGTATAATAACTATTTTTTACTATAAGTACTAGAAGATTTCACTTTATTTCAAAAAATGCAAAGCATGTATGACAAAACATTGACACCTTTTATCTCTGGGTGGTATGTACGTGTATTTTCTACTCTTCTGTATTTCTTCAAATGTTTCAAAATAAGAATCAGGATATTGATCCTATCTACTTTTAAGGAAAAAAAAATCACACATGTAGGGCATCGCTTCATGCAGGGAACATTTACAAGATGGACCACATGCTTTCACAGCAAACTCCTTGCAACAAGAGTCTATAGCAGGAGGCAGAATTATAGACATAAGAACCACAGATGGTCAGGCCAGGCATGGTGGCCTACGCCTATAATCCCAGCACTTTGGGAGGCTGATATGAAAGGATTACCTGAGCCCCGGGGTTCCAGACCAGCCTGGGCAAACTGGCGAGACCTCGTCTCTACAATAAATTAAAAAATTAGCCAGGTATGGTGGTGCACACCTGTAGTTCCAGCTTCTTGAGAGGCTGAAATGGAAGGATAGCCTGAGCCCAGAAGTTTGAGGTTGCAGTGGCTATGAGTATGTGAATATGCCAGGGTGAGACTCCAACTCAAAAAAAAAAAAAAAAAAGAACCACAGAAAGTCAAAAGTGGAAGAGATGTCTACGTTCTAATCTAATCCCTTATTTTCTAGACTAGAAACCAAGTGGCTTTGCAAAGTTACAACCAGCTACCTAATGCCAGCACCAACAGAAACACTTTGATCCTGGCTATCTGAAGTGGTCTTTGGTATAAATACCACATTTGAAAACTTATTTTCACATTTCATTTTTTATTTCAAAGTCCAATTTCATGGCACAATGTTACAATCAAACTCTTGCTATTTCATTTTCTGAATTTAGCAGAATAGTTTTCTTTTGTGAGAACACTTACAAATTTGCCTTCATAAACTAAGTACATTGACTAACAAGAACAAACTGTCAAAAATTTAAAACACAAAAAAATCAGTTAAGATGCTTAAGAGAGTCCTTTTCATTTAGTGTAAATCCACAATTTATGAAAATGCCTTTTGTATTATATATGTATGGCATATAGAAAATTAAGAATTTCTTTAGTTTGAAGAAATGAATCAGTGTTATAATGGAAACATTTTAAAAAATTTTATCTTTGGAAAATAATTCAGAATTGCATGCAGAAAATTATATACTTAATTGTTTGAATTGCATACTAAAGATCAGTTTATAGATTATTCTAAAAAACATTTTTGGCCAGGCGTGGTGGCTTATACCTGTAATTTTAGCACTTTGGGAGGCAGAGGCGAGAGAATTGCCTGAGCTCAGGGGTTTGAGACCAGCCTGGCCAAACTGGCAAGACCTCATGTCTACAATAAATCAAAAAATTAGGTGGGCATGGTGGCATGTGCCTATAGTTCCAGCTACTTGAAAGGCTAAGGCGGAAGAATCACCTGAGCCCAGCAGATCAAGGCTGCAGTAACCCCGAGTATGCCACTGCACTCCAGCCAGGGCGACAAAGTGAGATTCTGACTCTGGAGGAAAAAAAAAAGATTTTTAGAAAAATAGTCTAAAATCAACTTGGTTAACACAGTGTTATCAACTAATTTTACTTTACTAATAAGAATCTGAATTTTAAGAAATTGACAAGATTTAAGGGCACCATTTGAAATAATTCAGTATTTTATGTATAGCATTCTATTTCCAGACACATCAGCTTTCTTATGTCCAAAGGATTGGGAAACTACCAACCAGCACCAAAACGTTTAAAACAACAACATATACAACCCCTGAGTGTAGTTTTCCACAGCTTTATATTAACAGGCACTAATAATACCAAACAGGTATATTATAGAAAGAAAACACCAGGTTTAATACCTTATAAAATATGTACAGAACTTGAACATTCCTGTAAGATACAATTCAAGTCACAAATTATAAATGTAATCGGATATTCTGATATAATGAAAAGGTCTAGTAGGTTAAAAAAATGCATGTAAACCATAAAAGATAAAAAGTATTTAAAAATACACAAATTCTAACTACTAGGTTTAAATTTTGATTTAAAAAAGTAAATATATATTTACAGTCTTTAAATTTCACATATTTGTTATTTTTACATGATCTTTATAATCAGGGTAACATAAAACAAGAAAAACCTCTTTTAACCATTTATATAACAGAAAAAAAAAAATCAATAGGTAGGCTGGTAGAATACAGTATACATAGTTGCTAAAATATAAAAGGCCATTCTTATTAATGGAGTCAGAAAACAGACTTAACCAAAACTGGGTACCAGGACACAGGCAGTTTCAGTTCAGAGACTTTACTATGGAGACCCAGTTTCTTTATCTGAAAAGAATTGATCATAAATAACAGTTACCTGAAGGGCTGTTGGAAGAATTAAGAGATCACCTATGCTCATGAACACAGGTAGGTATTAAGACATCGTTGTCTCAGTGTGAAGTTAACCGCACAGTACACACCAGGATCTTCCTTTAAGGTTTAAAAACCTCAATTGCTATTTCGTTAAGACAAGGACCAGTGTTTAAAGCTTAAATCCTTACTTGGAGTGCTCAGTCCAGTTGATTATCAAAAGCTATCTATAAATACTTCAATACTGATGATAGTAAAGCTATCAACACTTTGTAATGATCACAAAGGTTTGGCTTCCCAGGCTATGGTCCAAAGTCATGTGCCTTCTGAGAAGACTGCAGAGACATCAGACAGATATTTCTGAACTTCTCAAAACAATGCAAAATCTGTCTTCTATGTTTTCCGCCTATCATAGTCTCCAACCATCTTCTTGATGTGTGACAATTTGCTCTTTAACTGCTTGCAGTAGTTCCTTTTGCTTTTGTAATCTGCAGACTAAAAACAGGAAAAATGAAAATCCTACATTACACAAACAGGTCTGCTGGTAAGGCAGAGGTGAACAAAAAAGGGAACATGTAGTCATAGGGATTTGGGAATGTTAAATGAAATGTCATTTAACTAGGAAATATATTTATTGATCTGGGAGCCAGGTACACAGGTGTTTGGCCACTCTGTGAAAATTTACAAAGTTGTACGTTTTGATTGGCGTACTTTTCTGTATGTATACTTCAACTTTTAAAAAAGTACTGGGTTGTTTTTACTTTATATATAAACAGGGTCTCACTGTGTTGCCCAGGCTGGTGTCAAACTCTTGGCCTCAAGCAATTATCCTGCCTAGGCCTCCCAAAGTGCTGGGATTACAGGTGTGAGCCACTGAGTCCAGCCAACATTTTGAAAAGTTATTTAAAAAATGAGCGTTTCAGCCAGGCTCGGTGGCTCAGCCTGTAATCCCGTGCCTTTGGGAGGCTGAGGTGAGTGGATGGCCTGAGCCCGTGGGTTCGAGACCCGCCTGGGCAGCGAGACCTCATCTCTACAATAAATCAAAAAATCAGCCGGGCGTGGTAGCGCATGCCTGTAATTCCGGCTACTCGGAAGGCTGAGACGGAAGGATTGCCGGAGCCCAGCAGGTCGAGGCTGTGGTGGCCGGGAGCGGCCACTGCACTCCAGTCTGGGCGACCGAGTGAGATTCCAACTCAAAAAAGATAAAAATAAAAATAAATCAGTGTTTCCAGGCTGGGTATGGTGGCTCACACCTGTAATCCCAGCACTTTGGGAGGCAGAAGAAAGACAACTGCCTGAGCCCAGGGGTTTGAGACCAGCCTGGGCAACTTGTTGAGATCTCATCTCTACAATAAATAAAAAAATTAGCTGGGTATGGTGGTGCATGCCTCGAGTTCCAGCTAGTCAGAAGGCAGAAGCAGAAGGATCGCCCTGAGCCCAGGAGGTCAAGGCTGCAGTGAGCTGTGACTGTGCAACAGAGTAAGACCCTGACTAAAAAAAATAAAATAAAAAAAAATCAGTATTGGCTATAGCTGCAAACAACCGAAATTAAGGTTCCAACTTTTCAGTTGCTGTTTTCACCTTGAAATATAATCAGTGCATGTGTGACAAGGTGTTCAGTCACTCTAAGGGTCACATGAAAAAAACTTAGTAGAGAAGTTCTTCCTAAAAGAACCTTCGCATCCTGGATACTTACTCCCTTTACTTGCTTCAGTCTATTGTATTCATCAGCAGCAGCCTATTAATGAGAAACAGAAAAATATGTTTACTGGGGCATTTTCTCTTATAAGAGTAACATTCCTGGTGTTATACTTTGGAGGTAAAAATGACAGCTTATGACAAAAATATATGCAATTACAATAATAAAGTCTTAAAACTCTTAATACTCTCATACGATCAGCAGGAAGGCCTGAAGGAATCCAGTGAAGAGGCATTGATGACACTACGTCTATCATGCGCCATTCACACAGGCAGGTCACTATTCTGCTACTTTTCATCGTCCCCCACACCAGTCTACGTGCCACACTGACACCACCAATGTCTTCTATGAAGCACAGCTCTGATCAGGTTATATCCCACTGTAAAACTGATCAGACAGGCACAGTGGCTCATGCCTGTAATCTCAGCACTTTGGAAGGCTGAGGCAAGAGTGCGGCTTGAGTCCAGGAGTTTGAGACCAGCCTGGACAACACAGTGAGACCTTGTCTCTACAAAAAAAAACACAACAAAAATTAGCCAGGTGTGGTGGCATGCTCCTGCAGTCCCAGCTACTTAGGAGGCTGAGGCAAAAAGATCACCTGAGCCCTAGAGGTCAAGGTGGTGGTGAGCCAGGATCATGCCACTGCATTCCAGCCTGAGCAACAGAGTGAGAGTCCAACTCAAAACAAACAAAAAAATGTTCTGAGCTTCCCATTACATTTTCCAATCATCCAGTGGCCTACCTTTCCAATCTCAGTGTCCATCATTAACAATTTCTTTAACAGATTAGGCATGCTAACGCTTCAAGATCTATCATTTTTTTTTTTTTTTGAGTTGGATTCTCACTCTGTCGCCCAGACTGGAGCGCAGTGGCCGCTCCCGGCCACCGCAGCCTCGACCTGCTGGGCTCCGGCGATCCTTCTGCCTCCGCCTTCCGAGTGGCCGGAATTACAGGCACGCGCTACCACGCCCAGCTAATTTTTGATTTATTGTAGAGATGAGGTCTCGCTGCCCAGGCGGGTCTCGAACCCGCGGGCTCAGGCAATCCACTCACCTCAGCCTCCCAAAGGCGCGGGATTACAGGCTGAGCCACCAAGCCCAGCATTATCACTTTTTTTTTTTATAGCTGTAATCATGTGCCTCCCCCACCCTTCCATCTGAATCCCCTGAACTCTCCAGGCCTTCAGCTGACTTTATTCTTCCTCTGAGCAGTTAGTTATAGTGTTTTTTATGCATGATGTGAATGCAGCATTAACCACATTGTCTGTTTAGATGTCAGTTTCTCTTTTAGAATGTGAGCTCTTTGAAGGTGAGGATGGGACTATATTTTCTCTGACTGCAGCACTTCCATATCATCAAGGAATAATAAGTGATCAATAAATGTTTACCGAGTTGAGAAAGATCTGTAACAAAACCATACAGATACCATGAAAAAAATAAGTAAATTAAGCTATGTAAACATGCAAAGACTTCAAAACTGAAAAGCAGATCGCCTCAATTGGAAATTGGCATATCTGGCCGGGCTTGATGGCTCAGCCTGTAATCCAAGCACTTTGGGAGGCCAAGGCGAGTGGACGGCCTGAGCCCATGGGTTCGAGACCAGCCCGGGCAACTTGGCAAGACCTTGTCTCTACAATAAAAAATTAAAAATTAGACGAGTGTGGTAGCGCACGCTTGTAATTCCAGCTACTTGGAAGGCTGAGGCAGGAGGATCGCTAGAGCCCAGCAGGTCGAGGCTGTGGTGGCCAGGAGCGGCTACTGTACTCCAGTCTGGGTGATGGAGTGAGACTCCAACTCAAAAAGAAAAAGAAAAGAAAAATGGCACATTTAATAAATGAATATTAAGTTTGTTTGTTTGTTTGTTTTTTTGAGTTGGAGTTTCATCTGTCTTCCAGACTGGAGTGCGGTGGATGCTCCCAGCCACCGCAGCCTCGACCTGCTGGGCTCCGGCAATCCTTCTGCCTCAGCCTTCCGAGTAGCCAGAATTACAGGCATGCGCTACCATGCCTGACTGATTTTTTGATTTATTGTAGAGATGAGGTCTCGCCAAGTTGCCCAGGCGGGTCTCGAACCTGTGGGCTCAGGCCATCCACTCACCTCAGTCTCCCAAGGCGTGGGATTACAGGCTGAGCCAGCGAGCCCAGCAAATATTAAGTTTTAATAAACACAAGAAGTAATGAAAACGTTTAATTTTAAATACTAATATCTAAGACACAAGTAGGCAATTTTTCAGGAATAAGTGAGATCTGGGTCAAATAAGCCCTGCACTGCTTTACCAGGGGATATGTAGCCGGTATAATCTTTCCGGAGGGCAACTGTGCCTCCAGCTTACAGTTTAAATGTACATGCTCTCTGACTCAGCAGTTTCACATTCTGGAATTTGCTCTAGCTAGATAAACAGATAAGAGTGCAAAACTGGCGAGGGTCACCAGTGTATACGAGTACCACTGGAATGGGGGGAGACGTACAGAGATGTCTATCCACACAGGATGACTCTTAAGCACATTATGATACAACCAGAAAATTGTATAACTAGTTTTGCACATAAAATTTTTTAAAAAGCCGGGCTCAGTGGCTCAGCCTGTAATCCCAGCACTTTGGGAGGCTGAGGTGAGTGGATTGCCTGAGCCCGCGGGTTCGAGACCCGCCTGGGCAGCGAGACCTCATCTCTACAATAAATCAAAAAATCAGCCGGGCGTGGTAGCACATGTCTGTAATTCCAGCTACTTGGAAGGCTGAGGCGGAAGGATCGCCGGAGTCCAGCAGGCCGAGGCTGCTGTGGCCGGGAGCAGCCACTGCACTCTAGTCTGGGTGACAGAGAGAGACTCCGACTCAAAAAAAAAAAAAAAATTTTTTTAAAACAAGTAAATCTTTATTATTTATATGAAACAATAATCATAAATTACTGTCAGTAAGAAGAACTGGAAATAAGCAGTGTCAGAAAGTCTAGTTTTTTTTTAAGAAAAAAAGAGAAGCATAGTTTTTCCTTTTTTTTTTTTTTTTTGAGTCGGAGTCTCACTCTGTTGCCCAGACTGGAGTGCAGTGGCTGCTCCCGGCCACCGCAGCCTCGACCTGCTGGGCTCCAGCGATCCTTCCGCCTCAGCCTTCCGAATAGCTGGAACTACAGGCATGTGCTACCATGCCCGGCTGGTTTTTTGATTTATTGTAGAGATGAGGTCTCGCTGCCCAGGCAGGACTCGAACCCGCGGGCTCAGGTAATCCACTCACCTCAGTCTCCCAAAGGTACGGGATTATAGGCTGAGCCACCAAGCCTGGCTAGTTTTTCCTTTTTGAGAAACTTGCCCATGGCAGATCTTTCTGCCACGAATCTTCCTTTGTCCTTCTCTTCTTCTCACTAATAAACTCTGTTTTAAAACTTAAAAAAGTCGGTGGCTCAGCCTGTAATCCCACCACTTTGGGAGGTTGAGGCGAGTGGACTGCCTGAGCCCGTGGGTTCAAGACCCACCCGGGAAACGTGGTAAGACCTCGTCTCTACAATAAATCAAAAGTTAGCCGGGTGTGGTGGCGCGCACCTGTATCTCCAGCTTCTTGGAAGGCTGAGGCGGAAGGATCGCTAGAGCCCAGCAGGACAAGGGTGCGGTGGCTGTGAGCGTGCCACTGCACTCCGTCTGGGCCACAGAGTGAGACTCCAATGAAAAAAAAAAAAACAAACAGTAACATCACATGGACAAATACCATTGCAGCTAGGTAATCAAGGGGTGGGGGGGGAAGGAAGATAATGAAAAGTGATTGTTGATTTAAAAACAGGAAGGCAATCAATGAAACATGAAAAAATGATTAGTTAACAAAGACTGCATGTGCCCGGGTGCACTTCTGCATGGAGAGGATATTGTGACAACTAATATTTTAGTGACAAGGATTTTTTGGTGGGAGGGTTTAAGGTGATTTCTTTTGCTATATACAATTCTGTACTGCTAGAGTTCAAGGGTTTTTTTTTGAAGAACGAATTGGGTTTATAAACAGAACAAGTAATACGGCTATTTCCTTGTAAATAAGAAGGACTACATAGAATATTGCTTTATAACTCTTACCATTAGTACACGCTTCAATTTGGAAAGATTCGTCCAAAATCCAATTTCAACTATGCGTCAATGAAATTACGGTTTGAGATTCACTAGCAAATTGTTACCAACAACAGTATAAAGGATGCTGTCTCTCCACAGATTAAACGCAAATTCTATGTCAGGTACAAGTGTCAGGTTTGAATTTACCATGTACTCTTCACTGTCTTCTCGATAGTCATCCAGTTCTTTATCTAGACGGGACAGTTCTTTATTGATGTCATCAAGTTCTGCTTGTAAACTCTTGTATTCCTGCAGACCCGTGTCAAAATTTCTCTTGTAGAGTTGCCGTTGTTGATCTGAAGTGATAGGTGGATATTCCCTACAAATTGAGAGGGAAAATGACTGCATACTCCTAGCAGACATAAATCCAGTGTTTCTTCTACAAAGTGAATAAAGCTGGCAGGGTGTGCAGAATGACATTTTGTTTTCTTTTGGCTTCTGATGGGGAAAAGGGAGGTAATACAAATAAGTTCTATTAACAAAGGTTCTAGGCTGGGTGAAGTGGCTCATGCCTATAACCCCAGTAATTTGGGAGGCTAAGGTGGGAGGATTGCTTGAACCTGGGAATTCAAGACCAGCCTTGGTAACAAGATGAAACCCTACCTCCCCCACCCCCATCTCTACAAAAAGTAAAACAAGCCGGGCTCAGTGGTTCAGCCTGTCATCCCGCGCCTTTGGGAGGCTGAGGTGAGTGGATTGCCTGAGCCCGTGGGTTCGAGACCCGCCTGGGCAGCGAGACCTCATCTCTACAATAAATCAAAAAATCAGCCGGGCGTGGTAGCGCGCGCCTGTAATTTCGGCTACTCGGAAGGCTGAGGCGGAAGGATCGCCGGAGCGCAGAGGGTCGAGGCTGCGGTGGCCGGGAGCGGCCACAGCCCTCCAGTCTGGGTGACAGAGTGAGACTCCGACTCAAAAAAAAAAAAAAAAAGTAAAATAAAATTAGGAAACTAGCCAGGTACGGTGTCACGTGCCTGGAGTCTCTGCTACTTGAGAGGCTGATGCAGGAGGATCACTTGATCCCAGGAGTTAGAAACTGTAGAGAGATATGATCACGCCACTGCACTCCAGCCAGAGCAAAAGAGCAAGACCTCATCTCTTTAAAAAGAAAAATCATTCTTTTAGAAATAAGCTTGAAAATCATTTATGAAAATAAAGAACAGGGGTGGGGTGTGGAAAAAAATGTTTAAAAAATAGAAAGAAGAAAATCATCTATAAAATTTGAGGTACAAGTCATAGGAACTTATTTATTCTCCATACACGATACTGACATAGAGTCGTGGTAATGGGCTGCTCCTGTTTAAAGTCTAAAACTGGAATTCTGAAACACAAAGCCTGTTTTGCTCACTGTGGCAAAGGAACAGCTGACTGGAAGTGGCTGTTTCCTGCTGCCACCCGTAGGTTTCAGACTGATTTATTTATTTTTTTGGTCTTGTTCTTCCTAAGTGGAAATGGCTTATCTAGTCCTTTCATCATAAAAATAGATATTGAAAACGTACACATATAAAAAAACATGTGCTCACTGTAAAAATAATCTGGCACTTCATCAAAGTATGAAGTAGAAAAACTGAAATCGTGTATCACTTGTACCTCTCACGATACCAGCTATTCCTTATATAGGAGGATGACGTTATTCACCCACAATCCAATGAGAAAATACTCTGAAACCCTTCACAGCACTTAAGGAGCTTCAAAGCAGTATGAAATTTCACATTTTAGATCTAACAGTCTAATATCGTCATTTTACAGAGGGAGAAATTAAAATGATTTAATAGAAAGAGAAACACCCAGGTGCAGTGGCTCAAGCCTGTAATCCCAGCATTTGGGAGGCCGAGGCAAGAGGACTGCCTGAGCTCAGGGGTTTCGAGAGCAGCCTGGGCAACTTGGTGAGACCTTGTCTCTACAATAAATTGAAAAATAAGCCGGGCATGGTAGCATGCGCCTATAGTTCCAGCTACTTGGATGGCTGAGGTAGAAGGACTGCCTGAGCCCAGCAGGCCACATAGAGAGAACTGGACGCTACAAACAAAAAATGAGCCAGGCATGGTGGCACATGCCTATAATCCCAGCTACTCAGGAGGCTGAGGTGGAAGGATCACCTGCACCCAGGAGGCTGAGGCTCCAGCCTGCACTCCATCCTGGGTGACAGAGTGAGACCTTGACTCAGTGGCTGTGAGAATGCCACCGTACTCCAGCCTAGGCGACAGAGTGAGACTTCAACTTAAAAAGAAAGAGAGAAACAAGAATTCAGAATTTTGACGATTTTCCAGTTAAATCTTCTGTGATACAAGTTAGGCAAATATTGTTCAGCTAGATGGCTGCAGCAGGCCAAAAACTCCTGGGGGGGAGAGGAAGGTGACGTATGAAAATCATCAGTGGGCTGGGTGCATGGTGCACACCTATAATACTGGCACTTTGGGAGACTGAGGCAGGAAGATTGCTTGAGCCCAGGACCTCAAGACCAGCATGGCAACATAGAGAGAACTGGTCGCTACAAACAAAAAATCAGCCGGGCGTGGCAGCGCGCACCTGTAGTTCCGGCTACTTGGAAGGCTGAGGTGGAAGGATTGCCGGAGCCAGCAGGTCGAGGCTGCGGTGGCCGGGAGCGGCCACTGCAC